TAGTTTGGACTAAAGGGAAAGATAAACCATTTTAAAAGACTGAAGAACAGTTAATAAGTGAAAAACAGGAACACACCCAGCACTGAACAAAATCACCAAGGTGAGGCTGATCAGTGCACACCTTCCATAACTATTAGTGATCTCAGTCCTCCAATTAGAGGGCATAGACTAGCGGGTCTGTCTGGAAAACAACAAAAAGTAGGGTCTACCTACGTATTGCCTCCAAGGAGTGCACCTTACCATTAAAGACGTTCAAGCTCAGGGTGAAAGGATGGGAAAAAGATACTACAGGCAAACGGAACGAGGAAGTAAGCCTGTGTCCCTCAAAAACCTACATAAAAATCAAGTCAATAAACAATATTGAGTAAGTAGGTTAATGGAAAGGAAGTATAAGTGAAGAATAATGGTCGGCCATCCAAGAGATGCAAAGTCATGCATTGCTGGAAAACAACAGACATCTGAGAGTCATTGCAGACTTCCGGTGGGACCGTAAATATTCCAGTCACAAAGGAGGTCTATGCAGAGCTCCCCCAGAACTAAAAGCAGGTTTAGCACATGACCCCGTTAAACCGCTCTTGGGCATTTGCCTGTGTTTGGAGCAACAGGGCCCATCACCACACAGTCGCTGAGTTACACAACAGCCCAGACGCTCATCAGCAGAGGGTGGGTAAACGCGATACACGGAAACCAGGGAAACCATCTCACCATAAATGTTGTTGGTAGGAAAATGGGTACAAGTGGGGATGATTGTATTAGTTAAGTCACTCTGAGAGAGGCAAGTTTACATGGGACCTTTTCATTTGTTCTTCCTAGAGTTTACGTAGATTCTTAAAATCACGTATGCAGTGAAGATATGAGTCTGATATAGAACAAAGAAAGGGAAGCTAAAAAACCAGGTAGACAGTATGGGAGGTAATTGCTCAAAGTATTTCATATATATGTGTGTGAAAATTCCCTTCTTCTGTAGCTCAGTAACATGTATAGTGAATGTACAGCAAAAAACAAAGCAAAACAAAACAAAAACAAAAACAAAAACAAACAAAAAACCCCATGACTATTTTTTTTTTAATGATTCAGACTTCCTGCTTTTATGTTGCACTGGTTGTATCTGGGATGTACCCCAGAGGCCTGTGTGCCGAAGGCTCAGTCTGCAGCCTGTACAGTACTGGGAGATGATGAATCCTTCAGGAAGTTGGATCCAGTCCAAGGTAGCTGCATGGTTAGGGCTCCCTTCAGTAGGGTCCCAGAACTGTCCTGTATTTTTCTCTGCCTTGTTGTTTCCTGGCTGCTGTGCGGTAAGCAGCTTTGTTCCAGAACACACGCCTTACGATAAAGTTCTGCCTCTATAGATCAGTAGGTCTCAACCTGTGGGTGATGGCCACTTCGTGGTCGCCTGTCAGATATTTGCCTTATAATTCTTAACAGTAGCAAAATTACAGTTATGAAGTAGCAACAAAATAACTTTATGTTTGCAGTTCACCACAATGTAAGGAAGTGTATTAAAGCATCACAGTGATAGGAAGGGTGAGAGCCATTGCTCTGGAGCAAAGCATGCCCCGCTAGCTGACCACAGATGCGAGCAAATGAAAGTGGGAGCCGAAACAATTTTCTCCGTACTAAAGGCGGTTTTATACTGCATGACTTGGCGAGACCTTCTCTCAGAGTTTAGATACGGCTGTGGTTGATGAATCACGAAAAGAAACGTATGTTGAATATATATGGAAACAAGTGTTCAAGGCCAGCCTTGGTTACATAGTCTGCTTCATGAAAACAGAACAGAAAACGATTTAACAATTAAACACGAGTTAAAGTCTACATAAAACAAGTGATGCTTGTTTTATGACTGGAAGTCTTTTTCACAGCTGGGGAGATGGCTTGGTGGTCGCGAGACAGGAGTTGAGACCCTGCTGCCTCATCTGGGAGGCTCCCGAGTGTCTGTCTGTTCGTCTCTTAGGGGGTCTGCCACTCTGCCATGCTTTTCTGCTCTTCACAGGCGTCTGCGCACATGCATGCACAGAAAATGCACACACACTTGCACAACACATGCATAAAAGATCTGAGGTAAATCTTTCTCGCCTGAGACTCAGTTTGAAAATTAACTTAGAAATTCAATATTGGGACAAATGAGAGGCCTCAGGCCATCAAGCCCAATAGTCTGAGTTTAATCCCTGACCTACCCATATTCACGGTGGAATATATTAGACCTACACACCCATCACCTCCCCCTACACACAGGCACAGATACATGTACAGGCACAGTCACACACACTAAATTAAAAATGTAATACAAAATTTAACAAACAAACCTCAAAATAGCCCTTTGCCCGCAGCGAGTCCCAGTATTGTGTCTCTGCTGGCCTGTGACTCACCATCACTCGCGTCTTTCTCCGTGCGTTTCCTTCAGCCGTGTTTTAGGACAAAGCTGTGTGCGCTGGAAGGCAGACTGCCCCTTCATCCTTCCACATTTCCCCGATACTCTTCACCTCGCCTCCCAGACTGACTCCTCCAAACAACAGTCTCCTTTTCACAAGAGGTTTCATTCTGCTTCTGTCCCCTAACTCTAAAGATGGGCTTCTTCTTTGACCTTAGCATTCTTCACTCAAAACAAAGAATTTTTCTCGGGTGCTCTCCCTGATAGCTTCTTCCTCTCCAGTCTCCTTCTGCCTGTCAAGCAAGGACCTAGAGTATCGTACAACTCCTATTCAGGCTACCCAGCTCCCTGGTTGAATGAGTATAGCAGTGTATGGGACAGACATAGAGTTATTTCTTTGCAGAAGCATCAGGCATTACACGTGACAGCATTTACTGTTACCTGCTTTACAGTGTCTGTATTAACATGAACGTATCTCTTCAGCCCAGTATGAGATCCTTTCAGTCATCTTCCCTCTTCTCTCCCCTTAGAACTGCATCTCTGCAGGAGTCATATTCTTGGTTCAACTACCCACATTTCTTTAGCACAATTCTAGTTCTCAAAAGCACCGTGTTTTAAGCAGCACGCTAATCCTAGACAGATGGAGATGGTTTTTACCCTACACCTTCTCTTACATACTGTGTTGTAGTCCTGTTGTAAGTGCGAAGCATGTCCGAGTGAACCAGATGATTCCTGTCTTCCTAGCACTATGGTAACCTAAACGATTCCAATATGCTAGACAGACAATTTTGTGCATGCAAGGCAAGAAGCTGACCATGAGATTCAAAGAGAGCTTCTTACTGGAAAGCAAGCAGAAGAATGGACGGAAGGCAGCCAAAGGGCAGATGTACTGTTGGATGGACGGGCTTACCGTTAAATGAAAGGAACAATTTACATTAACCTTAGAAGACAGAATTCAGTATTTGTGCAAGGACTCCAGTATTTGCTCTCACTTTTCTTTTTGTAATGTATTTTCAAGTGGGATGGGAATGGATGAGTGGTGATGGATAGATTCTAAATGATACGTTAAAGTGACAGAGCCATGCTTGTGGGGTTCAATGACATACCATGGATTAGCAGTGGGCATGTAGACTGCAGTAAAGATGAATATAAAGGCAAGCAGACATCTTCTCTATCCTTCCTCTATTTTTAAAAAAAATTATTTATCACGTATACAGCGTTCTGCTTGCATGTGCACCTGCATGCCAGAAGAGGGCACCAGCTCTCACTATAGATGGTTATGAGCCACCATGTGTTGCTGGGAATTGAACTCAGGACCTCTGGAAGAACAGCCAGTGCTCTTAACCTCTAAGCTATCTCTCCAGTCCCTATCCTTCCTCCAAACCTACTTGCAAGGTCATGTAAGGTCTTGTGTTCTCCAACCCCCTTCCTTACTCTGCCAGCCCTCACTGGGAATCTTGGTCTGGCAATTCCATTCCATCATCTTTTTGATCTATTACTCTTCAGTAGGTCCTTTTGTAAGTCATTCCAGCACCTTAAACTGGTTTACCAATTGAAGCCACTGCTTGTCTCTTTCCCAAGAAAGAAAATGCATAATTAAATTTGTATCTCTCCTTTCTTTCCTAACTGCCAGTGACATACAGAGAGAAGGACCTTTAGGATAGGAGGTTGGAAAGATGCCTTTCTTCAGTTTCTGAAGTGTGGACATACTTTTTCTTTTGGTCTCCTAGCCTTTCCCTTAGTTCTTACCTGTAGTCTGTCCCTGTGAATAAACGTGGATTAGGAAGAAATATC